CTACTGGCTTTGACTCTGGTTCTGAACAGGGCTGCCATCAAATTCTAATGAGCCTCCCCCATTCATTCATTCATTCAGCAACTACTGCCTGCTCTGTCCCCCAGGAATGCAAGACTTTTCTATGATAGGTTAGAAGCTCTCCCAGTTATTCATATTAAAGTGTGAGGGGTGACTTTCTCGACTCTATTAAGAGAGGACAGGAGCTTAGCAACTTACTGTTTAGATAACTTACTGTGCCCATTAACTCTTAAAGCTTCCCCCAAACCTTACACAGTCCACAGTGAGCTCAACCCTTTTACAGGCTGGATGGTTTTGGGCAAGTTGCTTGACCTCTCTGAGCCTAGGACTCTCAAGATTCTGATGAGTTTTAAAGGAATTATAATGATGTCAAGGAGTTAACTGTCACATTTAAATTACATGACATGAGAAAGGAACCAACATCAGATGTAACATCAATATTATCATTAATCATGAGAAAGGCATGCCCAAGATGAGGGGACTGGAGGTTGAGACTGGGGATATCAAAGCCAAAGGACAGAGAGATAGAATAATGCCAATGATTTCCACCGTTACTGACAGCTTATGTGGTATGTGTTCTGGGGATAGGCAAGTGTGATACGCCATTTCACTTCTCAAAAGGGAAGAGGTATGTCTTGTGTGTCCCCAGTTAGCAGAAGAGGAAACTGAGATCACAACCTGTTAAGCCCAGATTGCAAACCTGGGGCTGTGATGACTGCTTCCCCAGAGTACAGTGCCTGCCCAGGTCAGACAGCTGCCTCTCCGTGGTGGGTACAGCTGTTGGGGTAACAACCCGCCTCCCAACCACCACATCCAGTGCCTTCCAGGGTCTCAGTGTTCAGGGTGAGGACGCATCTGGTTGGAAGATGGTTGCCAGGCCCAGCCCCCATCCAAGGCCTTAGCAAAATGTCAGAATCCACAGAGACCAACTTCACCATCCTCTCTGTAAAATTTCCACTCCTATATCTTCCTAATGCCCATTCCCTAAGACTGAGACCACTTCCCAGAGAGCACTCCTACACCGTACACCCACAGCAGCACTCACTTCTTCCACAGTCCATTTCTTAAAGCCCTGGTGAACAGCAGGACCCAGACATACGTGAACTAATTCATACTAGGCTGTGATTGGCTATCATGGCTAACTTTAGCAGTCTCACCTGTGCTGCTCAGCTCACTCATCGTGCAAGATGGGTTCACCAAGAAAAAAAAAGAATAAAGAATAATAAGAATAATAGTAATAGTTGTGTGGTCAAATTAGTTTGGGAAACTCTGAATACTCCATTCGTCCATCCAGGGAGTCACAGGAAACACGATAAACTATGGCTGGTTTCAAGAAGGGCTGCAGACTAGACACCAACAATACCCAAGATTTTTGGACATAATTTTTTTTTCAAGGAACAACGTAACAACACCTGCAAAACGGTCTTTGATAAATCTTAACTGAAGAACCATGGAGTTATGGGGGTAAAATTTGTGTCCCCCAACTGAATTAAAATTCCTCGAAGGAAGGGATTTTTGTCTGTTTCATTCCCTGTTAGATCCTCAGAACCTATAACTGAGCGGTATATTGTAGACATTTGGTACATGTTTGTTGAGTGAATGAATGAATGAATGAATGGAGTTTAGTCGGAGAATATCAGCAAGTCTGTGTTCATAATCCAGGCTTTGCCTTATACATTGTATGTCCTTAGGCAAGTCCTATCCATCGTGGGGTTTCCTTTTCCCAGCAAACCTGAAGGATGAGACTCCATTATACACTCTTACTGGGGGCAACAGCGCCCCCAGGAGGTGAAAATTGGCTCTCAGGGAGGAAAAAAAATAAACCTTAATTCTTTTTATGTCTAAAGCACAGATACACATTATATTAAAATTGTAATATAATTTTGTATTAAATCGTAATATTGTTTGTAATATAATTTTGTATTAAATCGTAATATAAAATTGTATTAAAATTTCATGGCGGGGGGTGACCATCAGGAAAAGAATGTCTAAAAAGACTTCTGGAGCAGGGAGGACAATAATTAAGAAAAGGTTGTGAAACACTAGATTTGATCTAGAAGGTTCCTTCCAAGTCTGAACCTTTGACTCCAGGTGAGGGGCTGTTGGTGGAAACTATCTGAGGGAACAGGCAACAGCAAGAACCAAAAAACCTCAGCATGGGGGGAATAAACCTGGTATTGTGGACAGACATGCTTCCCCCAAAAATTCATGTGTTGAGGTCCCAACTCCCAGTACCTCAGAAGTAACACAACTGGGGGAAGAGGTCTTGACAGAGGTGATTAAGTTAGGCTGTCATGGTGTGGCACTAACCCAGTAGGACTGGGTCCTTACCGGAAAAGGAAGGGCCACCAGGGGTGCACACATGTGCAGAGGGACGGTCACATGAGGACAGCGGAGGCTGCCATCCTCAAGCCAATTAGAGAGGCCTCGCCAGAAACCAACTGATCTTGGACTTGAGCCTCCAGGACTGTAAGACATCCGTATCTGTTGCTTAAGTGCCCCAGTCTGTGGTGTTTTGTTTGGGCAAAGAGCAGGCAAATGCCCTTGAAACGTTCGGAGAAGACTCACCAGGGGGACCTGAGGTCAGAGAGGCCACAGGAGAGGCAAGTCATGGTCAGCCTTGGAGAAAACTACAAAAGTGTTGCTGTGGTTTGAATTGTTTTTTTTTTTTTTTTTTTTTTTTTTCCCTTGGGAGTGGGATGGGGAAAGCATCCTAGGGTTTCGAGCCAGGAGGTGACAAGATCCACCTCCTGTATTCAACAGGACCAACCACTCTGGCTGCCGGGGCAAAGAACAGGATGCTTGTGGGCAAAGGTAGGAGCAAAGGGGATGGATAATAGTAAGTTATTGGATTCTGGTACCTTTTGAAAGTACCGGGCCGCGGGCTTTGCCGATGGATTGGATTACTACCGAGTGAGAGATAAAGAGAAATGTTATGGTTTTTTCCTCGTTTTCGGCCTGAAGAGCTGGAGAGTTGGGAGTTTCCGTGTTCATAGGTTTGGTTTAGATGTGCATTAGACATCCATGTGTCTAGACATCCCTGGACATTCAGGGATCAAGTTCAGAGAAGACGTGATTGTAGAGGTAAGCACCAAGGAGAGGCTGCCTCTCCCCTACCCCTCTCCTGTCATCTGCCCCTCTCCCAGCTGACAGCCAGCATGCCTCCCCGGGTATCATGGGATACTGTGACCCACTGGAGACTCAGCCTACTTCCCCATCCAGCCTGGTGAGAAAAGGGACTTTGAGTCCCTTGTGTACCACTTCCCACTGTCCCTGGTGCACAGAGGGTCCCCGGCAAACGATAGTCTGAAGGGATGGGACGATAACCAAGGAGGGGTTAAGAATTACTCCAGAGCAAAATGCTCCCAAACACATCCCTCCCCCTTCCTGAGCCAGATATGGTTATCTTTTCCAGCAGCCCTGCTCGACCCCACCCTGTCCGGTCTCTGTCCTACTTACTGACAGCAGAGGAAGACTGCGTGGAAAAAGAGCCAGAAGGCTTATGAAGTTAAGGCAATCTACATAATAAAGAACCAGGGGTGGGGAGAGAGCCCGAGGTAAAACCCGATTTCCAGCTCAAGCTGCCTGCCAGTGGAATGGGAGTTTATGTCTCAGTTTTTAAGACCTCCTCTGGGGCTCCTTTAGAGGGTAGAGGACGTCAATTGAGAGACTCCAGGGTAGTGTGTGAGAGCGAACTGTGGGTAAAAACAAAAGGAACATGAGAAATTTTGCCAGGGGAGAGAGAACTGGTTCCCTTTGCACATGCTTTAAAAAAAAAAGACTAGGGCACTTGGGAGGCTCAGTCAGTTAAGTGTCTGCCATGGGCTCAGGTCAAGATCTCAGGGTCGAGAGATCAAGCCCCACATCTGGATCCTTGCTCATCGGGGAGTCTGCTTCTCCCTCCGCCCCCTCCCCCATGCTCGCTCGCTCACGCTCTCACATGCTTTCTCTCACACATAAATAATAAATAAAATCATTTAAAAATATAAGTATATGTATGCATATGTAAGTGCACCTAATAACAGTATCAAAATTCTGGAACAAAAAAAAATCAGGAAGCAAAAATGCATAAAACTAAAGGGGGAAAAAAACCAGATAAATCCAGATTATAGTAGGAGATACTAACAACCCTCTCTCGGTGACAGTTAAAAATCTGAGTTTTAAAAAAATCAACAAAAATGTAGAAAAATCTAACACACACTTGCCAAAAACACTAACCAACTTCAACTCGACCTAATTGACGTGGACAGACCCTCCACAGGACAACTGCCAAATTGAAGCAGTTTTCAAGTGCGCAACAAACATAGACCATGTGGTGGGCTGTAAAATTTAAGTCTGGGCTCATTTTAGAGTGTTGAAATCTTATATTGTTCCAATTTTCATCTATGTGCTGCCGAAGTAAGCACGAGTGTTGAAATCGGACTTGAGAACAAATCCGTAACAATCTTGAAAATCCCCCAAAATAACATAGGAAAGAACCCATGGGCCTCCGAAGAACTCACAAGGGAAACCAGGAACTATCCGACTGAATGATTCAAATTTGGGAGAAGCGGCTGAAGTTGTGCTCATAGGGCAACTGAGAGCTCTAGAGGACTCCACCGGGAGAGAAAAGCAGCACCCACAATCAATGACCCAAAGGTGTACCCTCACAAGCGAGAAAAATTAAGAATAAAATAAACCCAAAGCAAACAGAAGCAAGGAAATGGTGACGAGTAAGAAAGAGTGAAGTAGGACACAGAGAAAAGATGGAGCAAATCGACAAAGTGGAAAAATCAGTTCCTTGAGAGGCTTGATGAAATCAAAATGCACAAGCTAGCACTAGATCTCTTTTATTACTTTTTGTTTTTCGTGCTGACTGTGCATGAACTGGCTCACGGGGGCCACCGGGGGGGGGGCAGAGGAGTGGGCACGGAAGACCCTCTGCGGCTCCTCCTTCCAGACAGTCTCCGCTTTGCTCCTAGGCACCACGCCGGTCCCCCTGCTCACTGCTGGATCCTGCGGACACTCTGCACCTGGAAAGTCTGCGCGTGAGAGCCCCACTCTCGGAAGTGCTTGTAGTCGCCTGAGTGGTGATCGCACTCCAGCACATACTGAAAGCCTCGGTAGCCGGGAAACTGGGAGCAAACCCAGCTGGGGAAGGGAAGAGTAGACCATTACCCTCGAGAGGCACCCACAAGGTGAGCACAGAGGGATGAAGGGACTGGTGCTGCAGACACATTCCAGCCATCCCAGCCTTCCTTCGCTGCCCGGAATGTGCCCTGCTCTCCCCCTACACCCACCCCACGACCTGGCCTGTGATCATGCTGTTCCCTCTGCCAAGAACACCATTCCAGCCATGTTTTGCCCAGCCCCTAACCAAGCTGTATTTATCCTCTTGTTCTGAGGACTGGTTCTCCAAATCAGGCCACACTCCTCCTGGTCCTCTGTAGCTCTCATATAATTAGACAATTATCAGATTCTTTATAAAATGTCAGCCTCCTGTGACAGCTGGGTGAGCTCCTGGGTGTAGGGATGCGTATGTGTCTGGTTCGTTGGGCCCTCTGGTGCACAGTGCAATGCCCCTGGCCACCAGGGCTAATACATACTTAAAGAAGGAAAGGAGGGAGGAAGGGAGGAAGGGAGGAATCATTCCTTCCCCTCCTCCCTTAGCCAGAAGCCCTTCCAAGGAAAAGGCTGTTGTTCTTTCCCTTCATTGACCCGTACATTGTTCAGGACTGGGCAAGAATTGGTGTCTCACTTTCTGAGCTTCCATTTCCCCCCTGTAAGAGGAAAGTGGACTCAAGAATCACAAGAGGTTAAATAATAATAATAATAATAATAATAATAATAAAATAAATCACAAGAGGTCCTACTGTGGAACAACAAGATTCTCTGATGGTTAAAAAACAAAGGGGAGCACATGAGTGGCTCAGTGGGTTAAGCGTCTGCCTTCGGCTCAGGTCATGATCCCAGCGTCCCAGGATGGAGACCCGTGTTGGGCTCCCTGCTCTGCAGGGAGTCTGCATCTCCCTCTCCTCTCCACTCTTGCTTTCTCACTCTCTCCGTCATTCTCTCTGTCTCTCCCTCTCAAATAAGTAAATAAAATCTTTCAAAACAAACAAGCCAAAAAACAACCACCACCCATAAAACAAAAAGCCACCTCTCACCTTCACTCCTGCCAGGAGCCAAAGGGCACCTAGAGGACGGTTGCAATGGCCTCCCTAAGGAAAGCCCTCACATCTCACATTCACCCGCCAGCCACTGGGGGACAGGGTGGGAAGAGTCAGTCCCGTCTGAGCTTGAAGCTGGATTTAATCACCTCCTTCCTGGTGGTCTTGGAGCAGAACGCCTGAGCCACACCTATTTCTCTAGGGCTGGGCATCTGTTCTCTCCACCCCTCCACCTCTCAGGTAATGTGGGAATATGCTCACTCGGCAACGAGCACATGACCAGTCCTAGCCAATCAGACCACTCCCTTCCTGCACATGACAATTGGTTCAGGGTTGAGCACATGACCCAAGTTGGGCCAATGAGAACATTTCCTAGAACCTTGGCGGGAATCAGTGAGACAGAGGGATTCTCTTGCCGTGGGGTTGGCTGGAGTAAGGATGAAGCTGCACGGTCGCCTTTGCTTGGGAAGAGATTGCCTGTGAATATAATGACGATGAGGCAGACAGAACAAGACGGGGAGAAAGAAAGAACCCTACCTGTAGCACCTGGATCCAGCTGTTCCTGAAGCTGGTGACAAGGATCAATAAATATTCTCTGGGCATAGTGTCAGTTTGATATGGGAGTCTGCTATTTGTGGTCCCACAAATTCTGCCTGAGACCTCTCTGTGCCTCAGTGTCCTCCTCTGGAATGTGGGTATCAGAGCCCCAAAATCCCCAGCACACAGTTTTCACAGCCTCTCCTTCCCTGTCAGGCAGAGCCTTGGATTCACTTACGCCCCTGAGTGCACGTGGAAAGACCCCACTTCATTGCCATCCCAGCCCATGGCCTGGAGGGAGGGGTAGTCATCACTCAGTTCGCCTTTCCTGCCCAGAAAGTTCTCTTGCTCGAAGATGGTCAGCCTCGAGTCACGGTGGTTCTGTAGGCAGAGGAAATGGTCAGACCTCCAGGCACCCAGGTGAGAACCCAGGTGTCTCTCCAGACACCCCTGCTCTTGTCCCCCCAAATCAGCCTTCCTTACATTTTGGAAGGGTAATAAGGCAACAAAACCTTACAAAAGGTGTGCACCATTTGCCCTTCCAGAAATGTACACAGAGAAAATAACTATGGGACAAATAAGCCGTGGGGATGTTCATCCCAGCCTTGAAGATGACAACTGAAAAGATAAGGGAGGAAGAGAGGAAGGGAATCAAGCCCGAAAGTCCCCAAATGGGGGATCAGGTGGTTAACTGAGCTAAGAAGAGGATTATTGTGATCTGGGTTCAAATTCTGACTCCACACATACCAGCTGGGACATGTCACATAGTGTTTCTCAGCTGTTTCCATACCCATAAAATGAAACTAACCGCCTCCACTTGTCAAGATCGTTGGAGGACAAAGTGAAATCAGAAGCTGTAAACTGCATGAAATCAGGGATAGCATGGTCACAGTCACGGTCCACCGTGGGTCCCTGTATCAGCACAATGCCCGGGCCATTGTGGAATACAGGAGCAAATGAACTTGCTCACAATTTGAAATACTGGGGAGCTATGAACAATGATGCTGTCAATGAGATTTAATCACCCGGGAGGATGACTGTGATCAATTTGTCCTGTGAGAAAAGCTGATTTCTAAGCCTGCGTTTCTTTTAATTCCATTTTTGTAACAAAGTTGCAAATGTGCCCAAATACATAGGAATAGGCATATAGGTGGATAGATACAGACACAGATGTGAATACCAGTTGGTGTAGGCAGAATCTGTGAATAAAAACAAGATCAAAGGAAGTCTCCAGCATTGTTAAAACTGTGCTTCTGGGGGCGCCTGGGTGGCTCAGTGGGTTAAAGTCTCTGCCTTCAGCTCAGGTCATGATCCCAGGATCCTGGGATCGAGTCCCACATCGTGCTCTCTGCTCAGCAGGGAGCCTGCTTCCCTTCCTCTCTCTCTGCCTGCCTCTCTGCCTACTTGTGATCTCTGTCAAATAAATAAATAAAATCTTTAAAAAAATACTGTGCTTCTGTTCAGTCATGTAGGTATAAGTGACTTTTCTTACTCTGTCATATTGGGTTTCTTTCTGAACTTTGGGTGATAAATCTATGTGCCGTGTATGATTTTTAAATTGATAAAGTTGCTTTTGAAGAAAAAAAAATACATCTTTTTAGACTCAGCTCTTTCATCTGTAAGACAGAGCTAGTAATGCCCACCTCCATACATACTCCATAAACAGTAGCTAGAGTATAAAATCAGGAACACTGATAAGGAATCAGGAAGAAAATAGAACCTTCCTCCCCATCTTGTCCTGCCAACCCTGGCACTCAGCTTCTCCTGATATCCCCGAGTCATGAAAAGAGGGATGTGAAACATGCAGGGCCTCATATCATAACCAAAGTCGTGAAGGTCACAATGTGTGTGGTGATCTGGTCCAGATGCCACCCATTCTTCTTGCCCATGATGTGGCCCCATTTCAAGAAGAGACCAAGGCTCAGAGAGAGGAGGGAGGGATGCCAAGTCACAGAGACTGAAGAAGTAACATGAGAATTTGAACTCTGGTTTAGTCATTTCCCAAACCCCACTGGGACGAGGTGTAGCAGGACTCACGGCACAGGCCACTGGTCGGAAGGAGGTGAGCCTATCTGCGGGGTAAGCGGTGTTGCCACTCCAGGCATCCCAGCATGGGTACTCGCCCCGCTCCAGCACGTACTGCTGCCCTTGGAAGCCAGCATGCTCAAAGCCTACCCACCTGTGGATAGAGGGTAGAGAGTGCAAGAGGTAAGAGACCCCCTCATCCTGAGTTCTAGACCAATGGTTATCATTTGGGAGTTACCATTTGGGAGGCATTTAACCAATGTCTAGAGACATTTTTAGTTGTCACACTGAGAGGAGGGAGGAGCCTGTACCCCTGTACCCCTACGCTGGAGTGTAGAGCTTTGAGCCACAGCTGAAGCATGGAGCAGGTCCTCAACAGCAGGGTGCCCACCACTCTTGCTGTCATCTGGCCCCTTTTGGTGTCATCCTGTGGGACAAGGGACACAGGAGGCTGCCACTATGATGACCTTGCATTTGCTGACTACTTAAGTAACAAACTGTCTTATGTAAGTAATAAAGCTGAGCTCATTTTCTCCTTCCAGGCAGACTCTGTCAGTTTGCTGGACATATCCCTGGACAAGTCACTGCTCCCATCTAATCCCTAATTCCCCACCTGTAAAAGCGGAAGTGAAAAGAGTTTTTTGTCCCAGATGTGAGGTGCGTAAATACCACCCAAGAGGACCTTAGTGGCACTCACAAGCATAATATAAAGTGACTCCAAATCACATAGAGAGAACATTGTTCTCCTTCTAATCTACTTCCCAAACTTCTAGAAACTTCTAACCAGTATGGTAGCCACTGGCCATATATAGCTAATTAAATTTAAAACTTACATAAAATTTAGTTAAACTAAATTAAATTAAATTAAAAATTCAGTTCTTTAGATGCACCAGCTACATTTCAAGTCATCAATGGTCATATGTGGCCAGTGTTCAAATTCAGATAATGCAGACATGGAACATTTTCACCTTTACAGAAAGTTCTACAGAAAAAGGTGCTGATATGGATAGGAGCCTCAGTGTGATATTAGTGCATCATTAATACTTTCGCATTTCATTAATCTCTCTCTTTTGCTTTTAACGCAATGTATCCCATGCTCAGAGCCTCCAGAAAGAATGTTCAACTAAAGAATAATAGCATTATTTTTTACTATATATATTTTTATAGTTACCTTCTATTTTTGGCAAGTGATTTTTTTCTTTCTTTTTATGCTTAAGAGGAACATTTCAGACCCAACACTTGATTCTAAAAGTGTGATCCTACAAGACTCCCTCATCCAATATGCAGGATCTATGTGAATGATGATACCTACATTTGCGCAGTGCACAACCTGCTTAACTTTATGCTACTGTCCTGCACACTGCCCAACACTTTGGACCCAAGGAAGGCACGCTAGTATAGTTAGAGCCTGGGAAGGTAGGGCCAAGTACACCCCTTTCTAGACCTCTTCTTGTCCCCCTCCACCCCAACTCAGATCCCCCCACACACTCACGCGCCACTCAGCACTTTCAAAGATCGCACAGTCTCAAAGCCAAGCTCCAGCACACTGGGGCACTCCGCCGTAAACTCATGCTTCCGGCCCTGGAAGCCCTCCTCGTCCCACACCATAATCTGTGACAGAGAGAAAAGCAGGAGACTAGCATCAGAGTCCTGTGGGTGATGAGGGATTAGGAACTCACCGCAGGACTAACAGTGGGGCAGGGCAAGTAAAGGATAGCAAACTCAGATACCTCCAGGGGCCCGGTAGGTAAGGATGGAGAAGGGCCGCAGACTGGAAGGCACAGACCCCATAAATGGGTGATCTCTGTTCAGTGCCACCTGTTTTTGCCCCCTGGGAATGCCAGCCAGATTTTCCAATTTCTCAAGACAATCGCTCTATCTGGACATTTCTGTGGACCCTCGTTTTTTGAAGGCTAATGATAAATTAAAAAAAAATATTTTTTGACACAGAGGGGACCAAAGAAACCCTGCCCAAAGACTGTGTGCAGTCACCAATTTGCCCTCTCTGCCGGAGTGTTGCTGGTTCAGTCTGGGGACCAGAAGACCCCAGTTCAACTTGAGACCCTGTGTGTAACTTTGGGCAAGTCCCTTTCCCTCTTTGAGCCTCGACAGCATCCTCTGCAAAAATAGAGCCTCATAACACGTTCCCCAGAGTGAGGTGGGGATTCAACAGAGGAGATCGAGAGGGTCCCCTGGACCTGGGTTTGACCTCTGCACCCCCCTCGCTCCTCAGACACCACCCCCTCGTGCCTCTTCCTACCTTCCAGTGTCCTGCCGACTTGGTGCACTGGAGGGTCATGTCGCCAGCTTCCTACATGAAAGAAGAACATGATAACCAGTCACCCTGACCGTCTGCTGTCCTTCTGAATGATAAAGTCTAGTTTGGGTAAGATCGGGATCCAGATGGGATCCAGGTAGAACTGCACTAGGTTTGCCCCATTCCTCTCCTTCCCAATCTGTGTCTTTCCATCTGTGATGAATGTCATCTACCTTACTTGCTTCCTATACACCATACCAAAACTTACCCACTTGGGGTCTCCTTGCCTCTGATCCCCACTCTGTATTAATTTATCCACTCACTGTGGGAAAACGTCTGTGGCTGCCAGTGGGATGGATCAACCTAGTCAGTGTCAGGGTGCTAAGTTTAAGAAAGCCTCCCCAAGACAGCACCTGATGCAAGGAAGTGACTCTAATGGTGACAATCGAGGCAACAGGACTATAGGAATAATTTTGTTTTTAAATGAGGGTGACAGGTATTGGTCCTGACGGTGGGGACCTGACCTTGGTTAGGGTGCGGATGACATTTAGGATGGCACCGTGCTATCCCCAGGACTGGAGACCTAGTCTCCCCACCTCCCTCGGTGCTCACTGGGAGCGCGGATCCCACCCCTTCTCCAAGCCTGGGACTTACCAAGACGGACCCAGAGAATATGCCAGAACATGGTGGGACCAGCCGAGCTCAGGCTCTTATAGGCAGGGAGAGAAGAGGGCCCCTGGGAGACAAAGCTCCGACTCAGCATTCGAGCAGTCGAAACAAAAGCCAGTCCTGGCTGAAGTCCCAAAGGAGAGGTGTCAGCAGCGTTGGCTTCGGCTGGAAGGGAAAGGGTCAGGTGGCCTCCCTCAGGGATCAGCTATGAAGAAGAGAAGGGGAAGTTCTACCTTAATTAGCTCCATGGGACTCCTGATCGGAGCAGGAGAATGAGGCCTGGACAAGGAATCCAAAAACTTCACCCTTCCTAGCTGCATGACATGGGGCAGGTCATTGCTCCTCGATTTCTGCCTACAAAATAGGACAAGAATAAACCACATCATAGGGTTGTTGTGAGGTTATGTAACATGCCTGGCACAGAGAATGCATTCACAAATGCCACACACCATCCTCTTCCAGTAGGGGCAATCAGGGTTGGCTTCGTGTTGGAGGTAGTATTTATTTTTTTTAAAGATTTTATTTATTTATTTGACAGAGAGCGAGAGGGCAAGTGAACATGAATGCAGGTGGGGGAAGGAGCAGTAGGACAGGGACAAGCAGACTCTGCACTGAGCACAGAGCCTGATGCTCCATCCCACGGCCCTGAGATCATGACCCTAGCTGAAATTAAGAGTCAGATGCCTAACTTACCAAACCACCAGGTGCCCCTGGAAGTGGCATTTAACCTAGACTGTCTCCAAAGGGTAAGGAGGATGTGTACAAAGCGAGATGTAAGGAGTGTTTTTTCTAAGCAGAAGTGTGGAGGTGGGAACGTGGGGTGTATGTATGAGAAAGAGCTGGTAGCCCAGTTGGCTGGAGTTCAGGCACCCTGCAGGAGGGGGCCTGGCAAGAAAGGCAGGCTGAGCCAGGGTCTCCAGGACCCATAAAATTCAAAAAGGACTCCAGATGGTTCTGTAGGCAGAATAAGGAGCGGGTGGGTGTGAACGTGTTGTGTAAACAGTAGTACACCTGTCAGGTATCCTGGGATTGTAAAACTCACTTTGAATACACACTCTCCCTACACTCCTACCCTTGGGGTTGACCCAAGAGGAAAGAGTGTGGCTGGAAACAAGCCCACTCTTGTGGGTAGAGTCCAGCCCTGCCTCCTAATATCTGGGCGACCTGGAGGATGTCTGATCTCAGCTCCTGCCCTGTAAGATGGCAATATTACCTCCCTCCTGGGCTGGTGACATGCAGCCTTGTCAAATGCATGACTCTGATGAAAGGCTACCCTGAAGGTAAAAGGCTAGGGGCCAGGCAGCCTGGCTCTGCATCCCACTCTTCGGGCTGGGAACTTCAAGAGTGTGACTTAATCTCTCTGAACTTCAGTCTCCTCGTGTACAAAATGGCTATAAAGAAAGTAAATAAATTGGGCTTAGCCTAAGAGATTGGGGTATTGTGAGGGTAAATGTGAATTACACACGAAAAGCACTTTCTGTTCGGAACCGCTCCTGAAACACAGAAAGCATCATTGTCATCATGGTTGCTAATAATAAAAATGATTACTACTAAGATATCTGTGCCTTCATGTTAATTGCAGTGTTATTCACAATAACCAAGATATGGGAAGGACCTAAGTGTGCAGCTATGGACGAAGGGATAAAGAAGATGTGATATAGACATGTATACACACATACATATGTATTCACTTAGCCATGAGAAAAAGGAAAATTCTTCCATTTGCATTAACAGAGATGGACCTCAGGGGCGTTATGCTAAGTTAACTATGTCAGACAGAGAAAGACAAATACTGTCTCATATCACTTCTATATGAAATCTACAAAAGACAAACCAGAAACTGGGCATAAAATGATGTTTCAGGGGTTGGGGGTGGGGGAAATGGGGAGATGTTGCTCAGAGGGGACAAGCTCCCAGTTAGAAAATTAGGAAGTTTGGGGATGTAGTTGTGTACAACATGGTGATTATCCCTAATAATACGGCATCATATACTTGAATGTTGTTAAGAGAGGAGATCTTCAGTGTTCTCAACCACAAAGGAGATACAGTGACTGTGATCGGAGGGAGGATGTAGCTAATACAATGGTGGTAATCATTTTATAATTCATGCATGTATCAAATCAATGCATTGTATATCTTATACTTATACAGTGTTATGTGTCAATGGTAACTTCAGCTATAATTGTAGCTGAAAAAATACCACTAAACAATTCTTCCCATAAAAGCAGGAGTGCATCATTTTCAAGAGCTAAGTTTCAGAACTTAGAATGTGACTCCCGATTCCGTTTCATCGAGGAGCTAACAAAGCTGAGAGCAGAGGAAAGGACTTGCCTTGGTTTCCTCATCTGCAAATGAGATTCATCCTGGAGACGCCCCCTCGTAGTGAGGATGACAGGACCCAAGTCAGTAAAATGCTCAGGGTGTAGCCACCCAGCCTGGGGGTGGCCAGGCTCTACCTCTGCCCCCAAACTTTGGCAGGCAGCCCATGGCCACAGGGGACATGGAACTGCTCCAGACAGCCTGGCCTTAAAGCCCAGACCTGTGGGTGCCCCACCCCCCCCAGCCACAGGCATGTTGGCCCCTGTTCCAGTGGCTGCCCCATCCTGCGGTTCCGGCCCCCCTCCCAGGCCTTGGCCTGGGATAAAAGGCTGAGGGGGAGGCTGGGAAGTGAGGGGGTCCTGGGTGGGGGTGCAGGAGCAGACGGCAGAGCTGGGCCCAGGCCCTGGTGATCTCAAGGCAGATCTGGGCTCTGTAGGGGCTAGGTCCTGGGACCCCCACGGAAGAGGCAGGAACCTGTGCCGCCACCACCACTTGGAGGCAGGGACACCAGACTGCAGGCAGATCTGGCCCAACAGTTCCCTCAGCTCTACAGTGGGACCTTGGAGAAGTCACCTGTTCCAGCAGGGTCTCAGTTTCTCCATTTGTGAAAGGCAAGAATTGGATGAGAAGACACCTGGTGTCCGTCCCATTGTTCTGAATTTTTATTGCTCCATTTGACTTCTGTCTCTCCGTCTCCTCTGTCTCCTCCCCTACACTGCGCGTCTCTCCTCCTGCTCGAGTTCCATCATCTTCTCTATTTCTCTGTGGCTCTCCACTTCTCCCAGCCAGTCACCCTATTTCTCTCCCCCCATCCAGGTTCCCCTTGCTCCCCCTGGACCCCAGCTTCCACTGGCAGAACCTCTTAGTCCACCCAAATTGATTGAGGGTGCCTTCTGTGCCAGGCCCCATGCTCGGTGCTGGGGTCCAGAAGAGCACAAGAAATGGTGGGGTTCGGAGCTTCTCCAAGGAAGTGCTGAGATGGCCAGGCATGTTCCCAACCACCAGCTCTGTCCCTGGGATCAGGGTATGGAGGGGAGTTTCTACAGGCAGATCAGGGAAGAGCAGGGGAGACATCTGGGCCTAATGTGGGAGGAGGAACAGGACTCGGGCTTTGAACATTCCAACTCACCTGAACACAGCTCCCCCCCCGCCACGCCTCTATCCTGACTTCTATACCTGGGGCAGAAAGTCAGGCCAGAGCCAAGGTCAGATAGCATGAGAGTGAAGCAGACAGGCTCCCCAGGCCAGCCTGTGGGGGCAGTTCCTGGCTCTGATCTTTCTGTCAGAAAGCTCACTTGGCCCATCTGTGAAATGGGTACTAAAAGTACTGAATAAGGTGGGTCACCCTGGGGCTTGACCAAGACTATGTAGTGGGTAGAGCGTGTCTGAAGCTGCAAACGCGAACACTCAGCAGATGGGGCTGTTAACATCACACTCACATCTGCCCTCACAAAGCATTTTCCGATCTGCTGTGCTCCTTGTCTCCCAAATATCCCACCCCCTGGGGCTCCCCAGTATCGGCAGCCAGCAGGGACCCCGTGGGCCCAGCACAGCTGGGGTATTAGAGACAGGCCTCTGGCTAGGGGCCAGGCCCAGGGCAAGGTGGAGTGGCAGCTGGCCAGGGTTTCTGCTGCGCGAGCTGGGCCCACAATGGAAAGTGCTGCCCTCCACAGTAACCCAGGCAAGATCAGGGCCCCAGGGGCCTCTCCCTGCCCCGAACGTGCTGAGCCAGCTCCTGCTTTGTGCCACAGACCATGGGCCCTGGTGTCTGCCAGACTATAAAATGGGGGGTCGGCCCCCAGTCACCCACTGGACCAGCCCGCCCGCCCGCCTGCCTGCCTGTCCTTCAGCAGGAAGTAGCAGGTCCCCAGGTAAGAAGGGGATCCAGCAGCTGCTGAGAGCCCCAGGGGAGGGAAGACAGGAGAGGGGAGGCAGAGAGAGGGGGAGCAAGAGAGAGCCATGACAGAAGAGAGAGAAAGGCAGAGAGAGGGAAGATAAAAGTAAGCAGAGAAAGGCAGAGAGAGGAAGAGAGGGAGGGAGGAGAGAGAGAGAGAGAGAGAGAGAGAGAACATCAACATCCCCAGGAAGGAAGGAAGCCAACTGCCAATTCAAGGGAATGTTGATTCACAGAAGGACATAGGCGTTGTTGGGGGGGTAAGCAAGAGCTTGCAAGTCACAGATGTAGTGCAGATGTCTGACTTGCCCGGAGTGGGCAGAGCACAGCAAAGAAACGACAGTCCTCAGGGAAGGTGGGGGAGGACGAGATTCTTCTTACAGAAAGTGCTCAGGAGTCAGCTGGACCAGAGGGTTTCCATCTGTGCTGCCCGGGAATCCTCAAATCCCCGGAAATTGTCTCCAAAATGAAAGGGGGGCCAGGACAAGATGTTCTTCACTCAGTGGCGTCCACGCCCCCAAAACAATGAGGAACTAGACACATTGACCAGAGCCCTCTCCAGCCCGCGCCCATGCAGTCGTGGTCCCCCTTTCAGAAAACCCCCAACACACTCTGAATCCTTCCTTTTGGCTCCCCCTTCATGCCCCAATCCCAGGCCTGTGTCTGCATCCACACACCCGTTCCTGGACTACGCCAGAGGGAACTGAGTTAGGATCCAGCATGCATTCATCCCCTGAACAGGTGTCATCGGAGAATCTCCTATAGGAGATGCTGCTGGGCCAAGTGCTGGGGACCGAGGGGTGGATTCGTCCGAATAAGGAAACAGCAGAGCAGT